GAACAAAATGTTTATTGTAATCGGGAGTATTTTTGATGTTATTCAAGCTACTGTTATATAAATTTTTGTATTATACATGTACAGTAGAGCTTCTGTGTAACCATCTCCTCTATAACAAAACTCTTTTATGACAAAACATTTTTGTTATACAGAAGTTTTACTGTACTAAATGAGGTTGTGTATGACAAAACATGAACCTAAATTTGAAAAAGTAAAGACAAAATTTAAATTTAGAAAATTCTTGATAAAATCTTTAAAATGTCAAACATTCTAATTTAAAACAATCAAGAATTGGTTAATTTCACAATTAGAAACGCCATTTTGTGTGGTCTATTAGAACGAGATTCACGCCATTCTTTGTGCTTTTGAGCTAACACAGAAAGGAGGAGCGTTCCAGATTCTTCATAGAAAGCTCGGAATCATAGAATCTCGTAGTTCTTTATATTTTTAAAGTACTGTAGCGTACAATTTTTAGGTACAGTAGAACTACCGTATAACAAATTGCACGGCATTTTTTGTTTTATAAAATTGTTGTTATAGGGTTTGTCATTTAGGAGTTTTACTTAATTTCACGTTTTTTAAAGTAAAAATTGTTAGAAATGTTATTTTGGTATATATTTGTAATTTTTACACTTTTTCATTTACAATTTTTGGTACAGATTAATCGTGCTAATTAGCATATGACAAAGCGAACTTTCAAAGTTTAGGTTTTAACATTGAAACGTGAATAATTTGTTTACTTTTGTATTTGGTTGTTCAAATAATTCAGTGCCCTTTACTTCCCCAGATTTGCTTTGAGAGAGGGAACACAGAATTACTTGAACAACCTTATGTCTAGTAATTACTTTTAACATATTTATTATTTTCGTATTTTACCATCTACTAAAGTTTAATTTTCACAAAATTATGTTTAAAAGTTGAAAATTTAATTTTGAATTTAAAAATTAATCTTCGAGCAAGTAAAAACCTTTTTATTCAAAAAGATTTGTCGTTATATACTCCCTTGATTGGCACACGTCTTCATTCATTAATCCAGAAAGTTTCTTTTTTTAGTGTTTCCGCCTACGTCGCGGTAGTTTCTACTATAGTCACCCGACTTTTGGTGAATTGGGGCATAGGTGTTTTAGATAAAGCTCAGCATTAAGTCCATTATCATTATCAAGGATAGGTGTTAAGAAACAAAAGTTTTTTGATTTTTTATAAATTTATTTTTTATTTCCAAAAGCGTGTATTAAGCCTAAAAGCCGTTTGCATTTAAAAACATTATTGTTGGGAATATGTGACATAAGGATGTTATGTGTCATCACATTAAATATAGATTGTTTTTACTGTTTTTTGGGTCATCATTCTTTGAAAAGTTGGTCTAAAGAACAAAATGATATTTTTAATAAGGCAGACTATTAAAAAATGTGATGTAGCAACTTTTTGTAAAATACGACTTCGTAGTATACTTTTTTAAAATGATTTTTAGTATTTTTCTTGCTATGTAGTTTACATTAAAAATCCTGCTTAAAGCAATAAAACAAAAATTGTCAAAAAAGGAAGACTTAGAACGGACATTCAATTTATACGTTGCTTTTCCGCTAAAGTTCCGCATAGACAAGGTGGGAGTAAGTGACACTCTGTGAGGTATACGATTATGTCTGACAGTGTTAAGGTTTCATCTTTTCTTGGAGAGGAGAGAGACTTCTATAGGGGGCTTCTATAGGGTTCTATAGGTAGTCATTAGAATATAATTAGTAGAAGGCAATTTGATGTAAAAGTTCTGGAATATGTGGTATGTGGTTCTAACATGTTATAACAGTCTTATGACGGAAGTAAAAGAATTCAAAATCATGTCATAAACACGAAAATAGAAAAGTAGGTACAGTTGAACTTCTGTATAACGCATTCATATATAACAAAACTCTTTCGTATCAAAAGATTCAAAATTAGTGAGCGATTTGTTATATAAGAGTTCTACTGTGTGTGAATGTTACTACTAAGTAGTTTCTGTCATTACAGTAAAAATTATGTATGCTATATAATCCTTGATATTATTACAACCTATTTACAATTACAGTTTTCTGGTCGTTTTTTTTAACAGAACTCTCACCAAAAGTTACCTGGATAGTGTGAAATTCTGGTTATAACGGCACTTTGGCCTCCAGCTCTTTGAGTGTTATGCTAAAAGCTAAAGGCCTGACTCTATTATACCATACATAAAATAAGATAAATGTTGTCAAATCTAGAACAATGGTTTTACACTACCTAGTTCAACAAACCACTAATATCATCACAAAGAGGCAATTACAGTGATAGATTACCAAATTTTTTTAATTTCTAAGTTAATCTTCTTTGTAGTATATTATTATTGTTTGATTACTTTTTTGCAATTTCGCTCTTAGGCGGAAGAGTAATATGTTGCACAGCTTAATCTACATTTATCGTAAAGCTTTCATTTTATAAAAAATACTGTAGTGTTTAAAATTGTCACGAACAAACTTTTTTTAAAGTACAATTAGTTCAGTTGTATAGTAGCAAGATTAGTAGATGAACCTAGATGAATTAACTTTTATTTTTTTTGTTTTTAACCAAATGCTAGCTAAAAAATAGTCAAAACTAAAATGGCAGTTGTAAATTTTCGGTAAAATACGCCTTTTTGACATGTCCGAATATATTTTTTATTTTTAAAAGTATGGTTTAACATTGTTGTATTGAGCTCTACAAAGCAGTGAAACTCCTGTATAACAAATCGCTCAAAAATTTTAAATTTTTTTGTTATTAAGGAGTTTTGATATACAAGAGTATAAACAGCCCTGTGTGACGTTAAGCAAAGATTTAAAAGTTTTTTGTTATACGGTATTTCTGTTATAACAAAGACTGTTGCAAACTGGTATTACTGCACCTTTGACGCTCAAAACTTTCTATCTTTTAAACTTACAACTGTTTGTCTGTTACCACTCTTTTGAATTATTGTGATATACGCATAAATCAATTTTAATGTGTTATTTTGACATAAAAATGAAACACATTACCGCGCGGACGTATACTTACTTATGTACATGCGTTGTTAGATACTATGTGTACATTATGCTTGTATAATGTATGTCTAACATATTATACTTTCATATGTACATATATAATTTGAAGTTAAGTAATGTGTTTACGTTGTTATTAATAGGTATGCGTTTACTGAGTTAAAAAACGTAAATATACCGTATGTTTAAATTTAAATATTTTTAAATTCCAATTTAATTTTTAATAAGTAACTTTGAAACACTTCTTTTGAATGTCTAATGAATCGGTGGTTTTCAAATAGTGTTTTATCTGGAACAACATGTTTATATGAATATAAGATAAGTCAAAGTTTATATACTAACATTTAATATTATGTAAATATTGAAAAAGGTATGTTGACAATGTAAACAGAGCAAAAGTCAATTCAACATGCCACTTTGGGTATCAGACTTCTAGAATGGGTTGCGTGATTACGTATGTAGACATGTGGACTAGTATCAAGGAAATAGTGTACTGTATTTAGTGTTACTGTGCCATTTATTAGGCAAATATAAAAAAAACTTACAGTAAGAAGAATATTTTTGTTTTTTGAGATTTTCAGTAAGCAAATTACAGTATTAGTCTAAATAAACACTTAAAATGATGCTAAATACTAAACTTTTCAAACATTCATATATTAATCCAACACTCGATGAATATCATAACTATAAACACATAGTTATCTCTGTAACACATATTTGTTTCTTAAATTTCTTGGAATTTCTCACAAATCTCGACGTCTAATCTCGGCTATTATAAGCGACGACAAATTTGTTTCAAAGCGTTCATTAAGCAATTACTGTGTCTACTTATCAGTGTTCTAATCTCTTAATGTTAGACTCCAAATTTTACTTTTTTTCAGGGTTTTTTGAAATTTGAATTTTTTTTTGTTGTTATAAGGCAAGGGTTGGGATGGTGTAGTAGGAAACTTTGTGGCTTAAATTTGCAAGAAGGGAAGTAATAACTAAATTTGCCTTGCCTTGCCTTGCCTTGCCTTGCCTTGCCTTGCCTTGCCTTGCCTTGCCTTGCCTTGCCTTGCCTTGCCTTGCCTTGCCTTGCCTTGCCTTGCCTTGCCCTGCCATTGGTATCCTGCTCTACCCTATCGTACCTATCACACCTTACTTTACCAAATCTTATACTACTTATACCTTCTTCACTTATCCAAAATCTTTTTTAAGTATATGCAAAACGTGTTACACTTTCTAAATATACTTACATTTAGATTAAGAGCTATTTAAAATTAAAATAGTTTTTATTTTTAGTAGTTTGTGCTATTTTGGACGTACTAATTTGATAGCATAAAGGATTTAAAAGATATTAAAACATGTGCAAAAAGAAAAAAGATGTTCAAAGAGGGGGATTTTGAATACGGTGGTAATTTAGATTATGTCACAAGTTAGCATATAAAAAAGGTAACACATATATGTTTGTGTTGAATATGTGGCATGTTTTATATGTGTATTTAGGAGTGTGACGAAGTTGAGGTAGAGGAGAAAGATTCAATTAGGTGAGGTTTGTTGGGTTATATCTAAAAAAGGCCTACTCAACTTGACCTGATCTGTGGCAACTTTAAAAAAGGCTAGGCCAAGCTTGCCTATTTGGCCGTCTAGAAAGCTAGAGCTCAAACCAAGTGCGGCTCTGCTCTTTTGATGGTCTAGACTATTTATTACATTACTTTACCTATAACTTTTTTTCTTGGAAACCTTTGAAAACAAAAAAATTAAAAAAATTAAAATTTTTTTAATTTTTGGTTTTTTTTTAAATTAAACTTTAAATTTTTTTACAGTGATGCCATTCCAAACCTCGCGTATTTATTGTACCGCCTGTGGCTTCCTCGTTTTTTTTTGCATAAATTTATTCATGGCAGTTTTTACTTACCTCTTTTTTAGGCCCCGCCCCCATTCTGCCTCCCTCCTTTTTGGCCGAAGACAGTACACGTACTCATTTTACACATTGACAACATGATCTCCACGTATGTCATGGGCCTGGTGTTCACACTATTCGGAGTAATTGCACAGGCCGCCATGTACAGACAGAGTTTCGCACCATGTAAGTTTTTATTTTGTGTTAGTTCGAGGTTTTATTTTATAACATTTTTGGGGACTGATTCACATATTTCAAAAATTTGGGAAGAATTTAAAAAATTTAAATAGGGCTTGCTTTTCTGATTAATTTTAAGAAGCCCAGCCTTTTGTATATGGCTATGTTAGTTAGAAATGACCTCTGGGCTGGGCTGGACTGAAGCAAGTTTTTCAAAATTAAAAATTTTTTTTAAATATAAAAAATTAACTTATGTGTAATAATGTATTAGTTAGACATAGTTTTTGGGCTGGCTTAAACTTACTTTTGACTAAAAAAATTTTTTTGAAATTTTGTAAAGCTTGCTATATCTACTCTACCTAACTTTATAATTAAACCTTGCCAGCCTTTTTTATTTTCCACTCCTCTTTAAAAACTGTCATTTGCTAACACCTACTGTCATAAAAAGCCTTTTTAAACGTTGTAACTTTACATTACTTTACACTCGGCCTTTATTTACCTATGACGACGTTGACGTAGCGGAAATTCTGATCGGAAGGCTTTTACGTAGAGTTAGCGGACTTTGCAATGGCAAAATATAAAGATTAATTATTACGTATTGTCACCAAAGTATTTGACAGTATTTCGTTGGTGTTCAGACAAAATGACAATAGTATTGAAAAGAGATAAAAATTTTGTCGTTTTTTTGTTAACGAAACAATGTAATTTGACGATAACACTTTTTTGACATCTTGATATTGCCTTTTTTATTGTTTTTTGCATTTTTTGGAAGAATGCAGCTATTATGCTACATTGTCATTTACATTTTCATAAAATCACATCATTGCTGTTGTAACTTCTCTTCTAAAGTAACCAAACAATGTCTTTTCATATTGTCATCAAAAACAAATTATTAGGTTGTTCAAATAATTATCTGCTCTTTAACCTCAAAAATTTGTTTTACGAAGAGGCACAGGATTAATTGAACAACAAAATAGTTGAAATACTTCAGGAAGTAGATGTTTTGTAATAAGATTAGTAGCCGTGAATGGTATATGAGCTAAATGAACATGTTGCATTCTTGGAGATTAGTAATAGGAAATAGATTGATACAGAAGACTTACAAATTAAAGTGATTATGGTATGTTGGGGCTTCTGGATGAAGTAGAGTATAGTGACAAGGAAAAACAATGATGATATGTCTCAAAAAATAAAAAGATACAATATATATGGTCTGTAATATAGATTTTATAGTTTTAGTTGTAGCTTAATATTGAAAAACTTTGTATAACAAACTTTCCTAAAGAAAAATTGTTATAAAGAAGTTCTACTCTATTTTTTTGGCTACACTGTCTAAAAGATGTAAGCTAGACCGTGCTGGTTTTTAGAAACTTTTTGATGTAAATTAATAAAGATGATAGCATGTCATGCTTCTTTACACTCTTATACTGCATAGTAAACATACAAAGTATTACTTACCTATTACTCTTTTTTAATACTACTAATAAATTAATCATAATAACAATTTTGCAACAAAATCATCCCCATGACTCCTACTTACTTTACTTTAATATAAATCTTCACAATCTTCTTTCTTACTTAACATGTATACGTTTTAATACTGCAAAGCTTATTCTATTTGCTACTCAAAATATTATACACCTTCAAGCTATAAAGCTCACACACCTTCCTTCTACATTACATTCTTAAAGCTTACAAATCTTTTTACTACATCACAAAGCAAGTCAGTTGACCGAACACTTGCCTAATCGTTAGATTAATCTTAGCACCTTGGGTAATCTGAAGAGTCCAAACAAGTTACGTTATGTTTTATCCAAAGATAATCTCGAGTAGGGTTCGTATCTTTGTTTTCTCAAGTTTTTGTTGCTTGTTTACGTTGACTACAGTAAAGTTGCAAGGACTAAGCTTATTACGAAACCTTAAAAGTTATTAAGCAATTTTTGACTGACATGGCTATCTTGTGACTTAAAATCACTTTAAAAAAATAGTTTTTGAATTTCAGTTTTTTAAAATGACTTTTTTTAATTTTTGATTATTTTAAAATTACTTTTCTTAAACTTTTGAGCAGTTTTAGAGCTACAATAAGGTGTCGAAGAAGAAACATAGTATTTATGTAACCCTAAACTATGACAGTATAAAACCTTGTAACGTTTGACCGCAGACTAAGGACCTGCAAAGTCACGACTAGCTCAATTTTAGGTCCTATTAATGGTTTTATCTCATCTTATCTATTTTAAAGCATACTACAGTTTTTGTCTAAATTTATATAAAGAAATGGACTTATTGGAATTCAAATCTAAAGTACTAATTGAAAGGAATTAGCACGTCATTTAGCAACAACATAAAAGTTTTACATTTTTTAAGTTCAAACAATTTTTTTCAAATTTGAAAAAAAAGGTTTTTGAGACAGATTAGCTGATAATTGAGCTGGTGATGTGATAACAAATTTTTTGTTAATAAACTTTTTAAAACTAAACAGTAAAATTAATATTGAGGACTTAGCGTGATTGGTTTGAATATAACTTAGTAGGTCTGAATTTGTAGTATCTTGTAGTATCTTGTTGAGGTTTGTGGCTACATAAGCTACTGTAACATAAAAGAAGAAGATTTTTAAGCATAATTTTAAAATTATTTTAAAAATACAATCCCTAGTCTTTTTACTTATAAATACACTTTCAGTAACCGCCTCAACGCTTGGTGAACCACTAAACGACCCCTCCTTCCTCCTCAACTCCCCCTACCCCGCCGTTTACTTTGCCAACAATGCCGACTCACTCACGCCCGCCAAACCACAAACACCAGCTGTGAACGGTGAATCGACCATAGCCAACGAGAAGCGGGCGTACATGCGGCTAGGCAAACGTGCCTACATGCGATTGGGGAAACGGTCGCAAAAGTTCCAAGAACTGATGGAGAAGCGGGCTCGGCTTCGTCTCGGCTAAACCTATGACAATGTTCGACAGTAGCACATTTATCCTGAGTAGTACCTTACACTTTGTACCGCACACTATACAGTTTGTACTGTACTATACATGTTGTTAATATACTGTCGGCCGGTTGCGGCCAAATGGGTGTCATAATGGTCTCATGGCAAACGTCTGTTCAAGATCTCTGTATATTGTACTAGCAATACGTCTCAACCTCCTAGTAGTACTGTTAAATCTTAACTTATAATACGATTTTATTATAAACTTTTAACAATGTGATTGCTGAATATGTACTGTCGTGAGATATAAATGTTGTTTAACAAGGGAATGTTACAAACTAGTAAGTGTATGAACTGTGTATAACAACTCTTGTTGACATTTCAAAGTTTCACCGCGTTTCGCCGTCGCCGAACAAACCCTTCGAAACACGCCTGGAATTTGTCGGTCGATTGATCTGATCGGATATCAAATGTTTTGCGCGAATATTTACGACCATTTCTAATCGGCGCCGTTCTACTTCGACGCCTGAAACAACACTGTCACTAACTTTTGCTTTCATTTTTTCGTTTTTCAAAAATTGTCAATTGCACTTTTGATTTGCGGGGTTTTAATTGTGACAAAACAAGTGTTTTGATCAGACAGATTGATACGGCATAGATTAGTTTGACATAATCTTAGAAGATTCATTATGAGAGGGTGTTAGGGTGGTTGTTATTATAGTAAAACTTTAGTATGACAAACAGCTTTCAAATTTCGTGCGATTCGTTATATTAAAGTTACACAGAACTTTTTGGGATAGATCTTGTAGCAACAGTAATATAATGTATGTTAGTACTGGCTGTTGATGCCGAATTTTTAGAACGAGATCAGAGAAAGAAAGACTTGAAAAAGAAATGGAACAAGACGTGTAGGTAGCAAAAGCAAAAAACACGCCAAGTAGGCCCGACCAGAACTTGTCCGGCCCTACGATTGGGTCAGGTCTTAAAAGTGGGCCCGACCCTACCCGTTTCTCATCCCTAGCAGATAGAAGGAAAAAAAACATATAAAATTTTTAAAAATTGAGCCTAGCTTCTATTTACGTGGATTCTCAAAACAAATTTTTTAAATATTTTTTTACTTACCCTACCGACATTTTTTGGAAATATTGCAAAAAATAAACCCGAAACACTGGTAAGCATCTAAAACAAAGCCTAACGTTTCATAAGCCGTATATTGATAATGGAAAGTCGTGCTACTTTCTATCCGATACTGTAGCGTCGAAAAACTATTTCTTTACTTTATTGACATTACCTTTTACAGCTTTAAACATCTGTTACCAATGACAAAACTACCAGCTTTAATATTCTGTTTCTTATCGTACGTTTACTCTGCTTCTACTGTCAACAATTTGGCCACTAAGCTAGGTATGTTGTTACAAAAGGTTTCCGTATTTTACCTCAAAATTTTTGAGAAAAGAAGCTTTTAAAGAGCTGTTTCATAATTTTTCTTAGAAGTTTAAAAAATATTGTTATAGATCGTTCAAATAATTTGGAGCTCTTCAATTTTAAAAACTTGCTTCAAAGAAAGCACAAAATTATTTGAACAATCTAATATCAACATAAAATTTTGAAGTTCTCACGTAAATCTATTAACTTCGAAACAAATTACGCATGCAAATGTAAAGTTTTTACTTCCTTACATTGTTAACATACTATAACAAAAGAATTTAATGATTTACCACGACAATAGCATCATTAAAACAACAAAAGAAAGCTTTTAGCCAACGAATGTTTTACCCCAATATTACGTCGAGGAATATCAAATGCTGTTCCTATCGCTGAGCTATGGAATGTCAGTCCCTTTGACTGTGTTTCATACTGTGTTTTGAACACTGTCAAAAGTGGGGTGAGTATATAATATTCAATTTTTTTGTTTAGCGAAGTCTTTTTTTTGTGTTTAATCTTTACCCTTTTCAACTAATTTAAAATTTTTTTGTGAATTAGAACCCATAAAATTAAAAAAAGCAATCACAATGTTTTAGGATGGTTGCTCATCTTTAGTGTATCATAAAAACTTCAAAACATGTCAGCTTTACAATCATGATGGCAACTATGATGGCTCAAAAATAGTCTTTGCTCCTGGGCATGATTATTATAATCGAACTTCTTTTACCGGCATTTGTGCTGATCCTATTGGTAAGTATACTCGTTTTTAATGTAAACCGGCTCTGTCAGGGAAAATGTTTTTAAAATTTTTTTAAAACGAGTTTATTTGTGTAGATGAGGTTTGGTAAAATAAAACAATCAAAACTTTTTAGGGGTTTTCATAATATTAGGTGCAGGGTCGGGCGGGGACTTTTGGTCTGGGGGCGGGGGTCCAAAAAATCGGCACAGGTAGCCCTCACCTGTGCCGATTTTTTGCGAAATTTTTTTTTCCGAAAATCCACAGGGGGGGGGGACCACGTTCAATTTTTTTTCAAAAAATTTTTTTTCTGCGGGGGGAGGGGGGGGGGAGGGTACCCCCCGTCCCCCCCCTTGCGCCCGGCCCTGATTAGGTGCCAACATAAAGACAGGTTCTTTAGTCGGCATCTAATACATAAATGCGCCAAAAGTTCTGTTACAAAACTTTACCGGTGGTTTTCTGTACGTTGTGGTTAAATTATTTAAAATTTTTTATTTTAGCTTATTCTCCCTGTTTTTTTATTGTATAATCATAAAATTTAAGTCTTCATTCTCTACCGTCTGTCTGGATTTAGATGTCAAACATGAGAGCTATCGTCATCAAATTATGTAGAAGATTTAACTTCAATTTTTGTTTTAATTTTTTAAAAATTTATAAAAAACGTCGTATTTTACACTATTTTTTATTAATATTGAGTTTTTAAAACTATAGTTCACATTAATTTTAGCCCCCTCAAGACCCTATCCTCAAGGCCAAACTCGTCCAAAGGCTCATTCCATTAACACATTGAGAGCTGACCAACCAGTCCATGTTAATCCAGTACAACAAAAGTTTGGAAAGAAGAGTGAACACTACTTTTTATCGAATCTACCTACTACAACATGTAAAGAAGACCAAATCAACGCTTACATCTTGGCCTCAAGCTTTGGATTGGGTAACAATGAAAGTCCTAGAGTAGTGATTAATGGAGTTGATCGTGAAGGTTGTAGCAACTACTGTACTCAGAATATTGTAAGGGTTATGTTGTAGAAATGTGTCTTAGTTTTAGCATTGATTTTTGATGATAATTGAAGATATTTTAGACAACTTCTTTCATAAAAAACGGAACCTTACTGCGTATTTTACCTTATAGATAAAAACAGTCTTTTTTCAGAACGCCGTAGGCGACCGTAGCAGTTGTATCCTCTTCACTCATGACAGTATTGAAGAAACCTGTAGTCTGTACGATGAAGCTGTGAAAGAAATTGGAATTTTCACCAAAATTGAACCCAGATTAAAGCCATTTTCTGTAGCTGAAAGAATTTGCATAAGCAAGAACGTTGGTTGTGAAGATGGTATCTCAGCTTTCAGTTTGATATACAAACAAAAGATCAATGGATACGTGCTTGGACAAGTCAATAACTTGGAAACTATAGTAGATTGTCTCAACATTTGCTTCGGGAATCCACAGTGTAAAGTAAGTTTTTGAAATTTTTAAAAATATTTTTGAATTTTTTAAATTTTTGGATTTTAAAAAACGAAGTTTTAACAGTTTTTATAATTTTGAGCTGATAAATGTTATATTTTCTTATTCTTAATTTTGTAAAATACGACACATGGTAGTGAAACATTTTTAGTCAATCACATTCAAAAAAGGAAGATGCACACTACATTCCGTGTTACCTTTAATACAAAACTTGATCAGTTCTGATTCATCAACAGCTGTTTTGGGCAAAACTTGCGAGAAATTGTAAAATACGTCTAGTGCTTCATGTCAAACCCTAATAAAATGTATATAATAGTACTCGAATTAACAATATCAAATTGGACAATATTTTTTTATTATTATTGAATAGTAAATCTTATTTTAAAGTGCAGTAGATTAAAGTAGTACACCACAAATTCCTAGACCACCCTTTCTATATGCCTGAACTAGGGCTCTGTAAGCCCGGGGTACACCAAAGAAGAAATTTCTGAGGACTGAGGCCCAAACCAAGACTCTAAGCGCCTATTGTTGGCAGTGTGATATAATTTGTCCTAGTCATAAATTTTAAGCAAGTATACATGAGAAACGGGCCGGGCCTGAAAGTTAGGCTCGGCCCAATCAAAATTTTGCTCAAGGCCGGCTCGTTTCTCATGTTTATAGGCAAGCCAGCTTAAAGCACATTTTAAAGTGTCCGGACAGAAAAATTAGACCCGGTTTGGCCAATTTACAAATTTAATTGGTACAGCTATTTTTAGTGGTAGCACCCCTAGCTATCACCTTTACCATCTGCTTGGAAAGTTAAACCTTCATTATGGTATTACTACTTTTAAAATTTAAAAAATTTAAGATTTTTATTACTATGTAACGACTTACAAATGTCTAATCGTAAGACCCATTTATTTTTAAAGTAACATTAAAAATCAATTTGCTCAATCAGTAAATTGTTTCTATTACAGTTTAATCATGGCGTTTTTTGTTTTGTTTACTTCTTTGCAAGGCTTGTGGTTTTCAATTACTGATCTGTTTTTACATTTTAAGTAAGAAGAGGGTAAAAGTTTTACTTATTTTTAATATTTTATTAGTTTGCACTTTTATTTTTTATTTAAGTTTTATGTTTTTGATGTTATTGTTTAAAAAAGTTTTGTTTGATGAAGAAAATTCGGCAAATATGACTTTTGTTGATGACATTATCAATGCTTTATACGGTGTTTCTATTTTCTCTTACTACTTTTATTAAAAAAGGTATATTGTACTTGATATTTTAAGTTTTATATATTATTACAAATTATTAACCTTATATTACACTTGATTTCTCTACTCTCTTTTATCAATACAAAGTTCTTTCCAACCAAATTTTCCAAAAATATTAACTTTCCCCTCCTTGCAAGCCATTCCCACTTCCCCATACAAAACCCAACCGCGGTATGAGTCAGTCTACCAAAGTATTATGTATTTTTCATAATTAAAATACCTTTCCCACAACAAAAATTCTCACCACCGCCCAACACCGGCGCGACAAATATGCAAAGCCCGGTCGAAACTGAAGACCAAAAAGTATTTTTTATCCGAAATTAACACTGACAGTGCACTCAATTTCAAGAGCCAAGTGGTTTTTGCCTCTTTGACACCGTCGCTGGCTCTGGTTGCGTTGTGGTAGCCACGAATTCGTAAGCTTTTCGGTGTTGGTTTCGGTTTTACAGTAGGTTTTTTGAAATTTTTGATTGGGCTTGTAAAAATTAGACTTGTAAAGAGGACGGGCTTTAGTCCCTGGTCTTCAAGACCACAGGTGTCGGCCCGGCTTCTCGTAAGTTTGCTTTGAGGCGGCCTAGCAAGGCCTAAGACTGAACCGTGGCCGGACCGGGTTTAATGAATCCCTTTTCAAGTCTAGACAGAGCTAAAACGCCTAAGGCTTTTGGGGTCTAGGTTTGCGCTTTAGTCGACGTAACCCCATGGGCCGGCCGGGTTCCTTTTAAATTTGCTTCGGTATGACCTGCTTCGGCTTGTAGCCGGGTCAAGCCTAATGAGCTCTATTTCAGTTTTAGTAAAAATTTGTAAAAATTGAAATTTTGCATTTTTAGACAGTTTTTAAAATGAAATTCAAAAAAAATTGAAAAGCCCTTCACTAAAGAATAAGAAAGTCTTGTCGCTTTTTAACCTGCAAAAACACACAATTTAACGACAAAACTTCCTTGTTGACCTAATGGAATAAAAAGTCGTATTTTCAGACAAATTAAGAGTACAAAAAACAGCTGGCTATGTTGTTTTGTTGTTGTTTGTTACTTTTATAAATTAAATCTTTTCTTTTTGTCTGGGTTCTCTTTAAAATCCAAAGCTTATAATCTCTCCTGTTTTTAAAGAAGGACTGTCATAAGAAAATTAAAATATGCTTCTTGGCTTTCTCAATGTATTTTATACATTTAACTGTAATATTAGGGATGTTTATTAATGAAAAGTTTAGATTTTAAGGTTTAGAATAGGATAGTATAATTTGCGACTCTTTTCCTTTAATTTTGATGTGATTTTTCACTTTTGTAGGCTTAAATTTTAGGCCCAAAATGATCTTAGTTTAGAAGAAAGCTACTACGACTCTGGCCGAAGCCAAGTTGCCCCTAATTTGCGTATAACATAACTTATTCGCGATGTGCGCCCAATTTTCCGCATTTTTCGTAAATTTTTTTTGTCTTTCGAAATAATAGATGCCATCAGCTGATCACAAGTGCCAAATGCCGCGCTTTATATCCCTCTATATCTTCTACCTTAATTTTCGTTTCTATTTTGTTATCTTTGCACTTTTATTTTTCAAAATTTCAATATTTTTAAATTTTAATTGAAAGTAAACAAAGTTATGCGATTACCTTAATGTCCTGCTGTTTCCTATTGATAACGTATTATGTTCCGTTTACTATTATGTGATTTTAATATGTTTAGAGCAAACAAGAGCGCTGTTCAAGGTATTCTCGGTTGAGTTCCACATCTTATATTCACTATGCCGGCTATGGCGCCGAATTTCAAAAATAATGTCATTAATGTGATAAATCACAGAGAGGTAGGTAAATTCTGGTATGTTGAGATACTGGTTATTGTTTTTTTTTAATTTGGTATTTAAGTTTTGTAAAATATGAGAGAGTTATTTGCGCTGTAGAAATTTTAGGTAACATTTTAGTTTTTAGATAATATTTAAAGATTTTCGTGATTTTCAAGTTCTTCAAATATTATATTATCATCTTTTTACATTATAAACATATAAAATCTTTAATTTCAGACAAATGTAGCAGTAACCTCGATATTCATCATCGTCTCTTTGTACATCTCGTTATGTGCCATTTTACAAAAGAATCTGGGGAATCCATTGGACGATGATGCAGCTCCATTGCTCAATTTCTCAAACCGATCTTATCTTAGCCCGTTGGAAGTGGTACAGCCTTCAATTGCACCAACAGTTACTGTTATGGCCTTGTTCTTACTATGGGTTGTTGCTATGGTATTTGGACAAGTTGTGCAGTGGATTTGTTTGCCACCTCTGCTTGGTATGTTGCTAAATGATTTTAAGTATTTGAAGTTTGTATGATACTTAAATTTGCGGCAATTTGCGTTGATTGTCTACAGTTAGCTGATTTTTTTTAGGTAACATTTTTTAAAATTTTTAAAAAGGTTGAACTTTTGGAAAAAAAGTAAACATACTATTTCATATAGCTTAAAATTAGGTATGTTTTAGTAGGTTTTCATATTTATATTTTATTATTTAACAAAGTTATGATCAATTTGAAACCCTAAAATCCAAAATGTTCGAGTTCGCTTGGAAAACCAACTCGTTTTGCCATTTTAAATATATACGCGCAATTCAGCTGTAACTTGAAATATTCGTTTTGTAAATTATATTCGACAATTTTCAACACAACCTTTAGAAATAACATTTTGAATCAACCAAGTAAAATACTAACAAAATATTGTTTTAGGTATGCTGCTAGGCGGAATATTGATTCGAAACACAGATGTTTTCGCCCAATTCTGGAACATTGATGCCTATTGGGATAGTATACTGAGAAGTGCTGCTTTTCTGTTGATTTTGATCCGTTGTGGGATCAATTTGGAGCCGGATGCTTTGAAGAGATCTCTGGGTGTTTTCTCGAGTCTTGGCTTCATTTCAACTACTGTAGAAGCTTTGGCTGTAGTTTTGGCATCTCACTTTATCTTTGAAATCGGTGTACCTTTGTCTATATTGTTTGCGTAAGTGGGGTTGTAAAGGGGTGTTGAAGGGTTAAAAATATTGTTTTAGATATCACTTCTATATTTTTTTCAAAATTTTTTAAAAATTTTTAAAAGTTGAAGCAGTACGAACAAGACGTCGTATTTTACATTTTTTCATTTTTCGTTTTTTTTGTTGGACTCAATAAATTTTATTGTTATTTTTTAACTTATTTTAAAATTTAAGTTTTGTACTAACTTCAACATCACCAGCTGTTACTGTACCATCGATGATAAAGCTCCAAGATCAAGGCCGTGGCACAAACAAAGGAATTCCGACGACAATTTTAGCGGCCGCTTCTATTGACAATATTTACTGTATAACAGCATTCAGTATCGTATCTTCTGTAATCTTCACGAAAAACGGTAATTTCTTGGGGAAAGGGAGAGGGGGGTTTAATATAATATTAGGTAGTTCAACTAATTCTGTGCACTCTAGTTTGGAAAAATAGCTTTGAGAGGCGCACAGAATTATTTGAACAACTTAATATTATAATTTAGTATAAATTTCCGTCTTCCGTATTTTACACTATCTAAAAGGTTTTAAGCTATAATAATATTGTTGTTATTAAGGAAATGCTTGTTATTTTGTGTTTCAGAAGATTTGACATACTTGATTGTACGAATTCCTATTGAAGTTTTGATTGGCATGCTCTTTGGTATCTTGTTTGGTATGTTTTCTTATTATTTTTCTTTTATCGATTAAATTAAGGTGCAGCAGAAAAACTGTTGATTATAAGCTTTTCAATCAATATTGGGTCTTAAATGACAATGCAATTCAGGCCTCCTTCTCCGAGTATTCCCACGTGACGATGTTCATCACGTTCACTTCATCAGATGTGTTATCATCTCTTCGTTCTCTACAGCCATGTTATTTGCCACAAGATCGATTGGCTGTGAAATGGTGGGGCCAATATCGGTGTTCATGATGGTGGTGGTGGCATCAATGAGGTGGAAGATTGACAATCACAGAATGACGAGGAAAGAGGAACGCTGCTTCAAGATCGTGTGGGACGACATGCTTCAACCGTTCTTGTTCGCTCTTATTGGACTTTTGTTCGACTTTTCACAGGTATGAGATAGTTGTTTGGGTATGAGATGATTTTTTGAGATGGTTGTTTGGGTATGAGATGATTTTTTGGATTTAAAATGATAGTTTGGGTATGAAAAGCTATGTTATGTATTATGGAAGCTAAAAAATGATATTTTGGAAGGAAATGAAAAGTGCAGGCTGCGGGGGACAAGTTATACGATAAAAAATGTTTTTTAAAGCTGATGAAGGGAATAATTCGTAACTATTTACGATTTTTAACGCTAAAATAATATTTTAGTGATAATAACTTGCTGTAATTTTAAAATTATGAACTTTTTGTTGAACAAAAACAAATAATATAAAAATTGATTTTTTGAAATTCCAGATCAGTTGGGACATGTTTTGGGATGCGATGTTGATCATCTTTATTGGAGCTATTGTTCGAATGATTACGGTGTTTATCATGTCAATCTTCATGTTCTTGTCACTCAAGGAAAAGATTTTTGTTTCAGTTTGCTTCTTCCCAAAGGCTACTGTGCAGGTATGTGATTATATTCACCATGGTGAACAAAAAAAACGAAAAAAGATATTTTTAACACTATACATGGCTTAAAAATTGAACGAATGATAATATAATTCTGCCAAAATATATCCTTCCAGGCAGCCCTAGCCCCGCTAGTAATCCAATACACAGGAGATAACGACCCAGAGAAGATGAGTTTCATCTTCAACACCTGCGTACTCAGTATTCTGGTCACAGCACCAATAGGACAATTGATAATAGATGTGTTAGGAAGGTATTTGTTGGACAAAGAAGTTAACTTGTCTAAGAGAAGCTTTGAGCCATTGAAATTGCCAAATATGCCCGAACCAAATGGAGATTTCAAAAGGGAACCATCCTTCATTCAAGCTGATAAGGACAACAGACTCAGGGTAATTGTAAAAGATAATGAGAAAAGTAAGAAGAACAAGATTGGCAAGATCTTTGGGAAATAAATGTTATTTTTAAACGATTTTTTTTGTTTTTATGGGTTTGAAGGGTAGTATTGATGTTATAGTAGATGGAAAAGATAGATTTAGTCGTTCTTTGTCAAGAAATGTATATTTTTTGTAATATCAAGGATAGTATTGATGTTATAGTAGAAGAAAAACTTAATTTTGATTCTTTATTTGACGTTTATTGACCTTGTTAACTTGAACATCTCAATGTTAGGCTAATTTTTGGTATAAAACAAGTTAAATTAAACTTTTTATACATTAACCATGACCATACTAACCCAAAAAGCTTGTCTTTGAAGTGCCATAACTACAATAACATTATCTTTTCAGTTGCAAGTAACCCCGACCAATAACACTAACCCAACGTCGATAGTAACGACCCCCAAACTGAATCAAAGCTCGACAATAACCACGACCATGGCTCGAATCATGACACCACCAACAACACCAAAAGCCAAATCCAAGAATGAACCCCCTCCACCTTCTCTACCACCCCCATCGTTCGACGACATCCATTCCCAGGCTTTCGAGATCTTCAAGGAACAGCGACTGAAGAAGGAACGGTTTCAGGACGGCAACCGCATGGAAACCATTACCGAGCTTCAGACCAGTCGACCTAGCTATATTGATCACAAAATCGCCAAGTTTTAAGTTTTTCGTTTTGTTTTGTGTGTAGTTGAGTGATTTGTTGTGGGTTTTTGTTAAAATTGGGGGAGCTTGGTATTGTACTAGGTTGTTCAAATGATTCTGTGTCCTCACTCAAAGCAAATTTTGTGGGTTAGGAAACACAGAATTATTTGAACAACTTAATAGCAGGTACATGTTGAGAGAACCTAATGTGGCAGAAAGATATTGAGGTAATTTTATGTTATAGTAGGTAGACATTAGGATAATCGTATATTATAGGAGGTTTACGAATATTTTTTCATTAAAAATAGGAAATGTGATGTAATACGGCTAGTAAGGTCATAGTGCGTTTAGAGGAAATAGAGAAATCCTACTTTTATAAGAAAACGGAGGGCGCAGCTCAAAAACTAGATTTTGCAGGCTGCGGACCTATTTTATACGACCAAACGTGTCGTTCTACACAACCGTTTCGCAAAAAGCTTAAAAATGATTTTTTAATCAAAAATGTATTTTAAAAATATTTTTATTCAACCTTCGTGTCCTTACTAACACAAGTTCTAACAAATTTTAACAAAACGCACTACAAATCAGTACAATTACACATAGTAACTAGTCTTTTAAACTTATGTTTTATTTTTTACCAAATATTTTTTATTATGAGCTTGTTTTTCATTGATATCCATCGTTAATCATATCCTCACGAAACCTTTCATTTTGGCATTACTTTACAGTATTGTTGTTGTTATACCTTAATTCAAGTCGTAAATCAAGTTTTATGAAATGAAAATGAACTTAATAAACGTTTATATGACACTTGGGCAATTGTTTACCTACTGGTAATATGATACTTGCCAACTGACTTATCTTTGGGAAGAAATGTTAAAAGCGCAGCTTGCGGGTCGTGGCCGCAGCTTGGGGATAATAATTTTGGTTTTACCGAGCAGTAAATAAAAAAATTGTTATAGTTATGATACAGTAGTATAAAAGCTAAGGTTTTATTATGTTATTTGTTGATTTTTGCAAGTTTTGTTTAGCAATGGTAGTATAGACTACTATAATATATATAAAACTACAATTGTCAAGTATCAAAATTTACATTGTAGTTTACGAGATGACACAACAAGGCACTTGAGTACACATAATGTCCAATATAATGTGTGGTAAAGAATATGATATGTGATAAACGTCTGTACACTCTTTTGTAGCTCTAATTTGTAAATGTAAGAACGGTTTTTCTAGAAAGAGACCTACTTGTTACAATATCTTGTAGTATAATTAGAATTTCCATATTGTAGTTAATAACGTACATTATTCTTAATATGTAGCTTTTTCTATACATTAGTAAGTACTCCTCTTTCTAAGATGTTGTTATAGAAGTCAATTTTGGAGAGGTAACAACTTATTGAGTTATTACTTCATTTGCTTTTACAGCTTATTTGTTAATAAAACTTTGGTTTTGCTAGTAGCATCTGGACCAAAACTTTGCTTTTACATTCAGTTGGTTAAGTTTACTGTGTATTGGGTTGTGCTACTGATAAAGGGTGGCATTATAATCTAATAATTGTCATGCTGTACGTAATGAGCGAAGTAGAACAATGCTGGGAAGCTAACTATGTTCCAACTTTGGTTTATTGGTTTGAACAAATGGGACAGCTGTCGATTTCAGAATATGTATCGTATATGAATGCTAAATTGGCTTGGGATTTGGTAGGTTTTATCTTGATTTTATTTTATAAAGTTGTACTAATATTATGGTACCTAAAGTTACGTTTTGCTATCGTATACGATAAGTTGGATACTTTTAATATTAAGTCAACATTTAGGCAGTGACACAAGAATATTATGAAAATGATTACTTTAACAGTATCTTATAACGGTTTTAAGCTTTCATTTTCAACTACTGTTTATGTTTTTATAATTAACTTTAGTTGTATGGCTCTTTTCTTACTTGTACTACTACAATATCTCACTATATACATGGTCATTTTTCTATAAATATAACAAATTTATTATTAAGCGAATAAATAATATTAATGTAAGGTTAAGCAAGATCATTTTTGAGCGTTTTTGATATGTTCGAAAACGTCACGGACTTTCCTGGCAAAGGTTTTCACATCGCTGTTCATACTGTCTTTGGCCAGGCTGGCTACTCGCTTAAAGACTTCTTTTTGTTGAGTAACTGGCAGTTGGGAGATGGAGCGAATGGCATGGGTTACGTTGTTGAATGGGGATTCCTAGAATAGTTTATGGTACTGTTTTACTAACAGAAGAGGTAGGGTAGGGTAGGGTAGGGTAGGGTAGGATAGAGTAGAGTAGGGTAGGGTAGGGTAGGGTAGGATAGAGTAGAGTAGAGTAGAGTAGGGTAGGGTAGGGTAGGGTAGGGTAGGGTAGGGTAGGGTAGGGTAGGGTAGGGTAGGGTAGGGTAGGGTAGGGTAGGGTAGGGTATGTTAGAACAGAAATATGGCAAGGTACTAACAACAATAACTTACAGTAACCAAATCACTGAGCTCCTGACTCTCTTCACTTTCTTCATCCTCAGATTCTCTCTTGTATTTAGAAGCACAAAACGGCAGAATCTGGCAAACAGTGTTAGCATCAGCGTGAGTCAAAAACACTGAAGCTCCAAATCCACCAACCAAACAAATCGGTACCAATTGAGGATCAACAGCATAAAACATTGGACACACAGCCAAAGGTACAGCGGTCTCTACCAGCCATCTTGGCACATCGTTGTTACTTTTGATGGCGTTCTGGATATCCATAACGTGAGTGGTACATTGAGGACAAATGATGATTGAGGCAAACTGAAGAGGAGCGGCGATTTGGGCGGAGAACTTGGAAATCGTGCCGAATAGGGGGATATCTTTTTGGAATTGGCTAGCATGGGCACCCCACTCAATGTTGAAGAGAGTGAGGCCGAGTTTGGCCATGTCGATGTCTTTGATTTCGGCTGGCTCGAAGAAATCGCCAATTTCTTGCAGGAAGTTGGCTAAAAAGTTGAGGTTTATATTGTTTTTGAGCTATTATTAATGGCATTTTTGAATCTTTGGTTACTGTAACATAGGTTGAAAATTTAAAAAAGTCTTTTCGTCAATACTCATATACTGACATGTTAAAAAACGACATGACTTTCTAAAAAAATCTAAAAATTTTAAAAATTTAAAAAATTGTTCAAAAATTATTCTACAGATTTTTTGACCGGTTTTTGTCATTTTTTACTCTTCTTTTGAATTCAAAAAACGTTGAAATTACCAAAAATATTAAAAAAAAATTTACCTTGAGCACTAACAAAAACGAGTGAAAGCACAACGTAGGAGAACATGTTGATTGATATTCGAACTAATGATGGTTCTACTAGAAATTGTTACTATTTATAACAAACTCATGTTCTCCATCAAAATTATAATCTTATTTTATAAGCGTTAAAAGTAAATATTGAGGCTAAAACGATGCTTCCATCTAAAATAATATCTTTGGCCTAAATTTAAATGTTTGGTCTGGAATAACAAGTTATTTGCTAGACCAAGGTTTATTTTGAATATTTATTATTGTTGGACTAGTTTTTTAGCATATAAGCAATAAAATATGTTTGTGGTATTGTGCTAGAATAAGAAAATTTAAAACTATTATGTTCTGTCATTTTCTTTTGGTATCGTTTATTGTGACTGCGACTGGTAAGGTTTTGTCACGATTTTTAGACGTAGAGCAAGACCTAGAGCTAAACCTAAAGTTAGACCTAGTCCTAGCTCAGAGCGCTAGCCAAGAATCTTAGCCCAGAGCTCTAGCCCAGTGCCTTAGCGCAGAGTCCTAGCATAGAGCCCTAGCGCAGAACCCTAGCCTAGAGCCCTAGTGCAGAGCCCTAGCCCAGAGCCCTAGCCTAGAGCCCTAGCCCAGTGCTCTAGCCCAGAGCCCTAACCCATAGCTCTAGCCTAGAGTCCTAGCTCAGAGTCCTAGCTCAGAGCCTTACCCCAGAGTTCTAACCCAGAACCAGTTCTTCAAGCTTAGCCCGTTCCTATGTCTAGCTTTAGCCCTATTCCTAGACCTAAATATAATAATATAATGTAAAATAAGCGATCAAGTGTTTTTTTAGCCAACTTCCTCCAAGACGTAGGCACATTTTTCGAGCCAGCCGAACTAAAACAAAATGAATTAGCGACTCTTGGTATGCAAATCTTCAACATTCAATGGAAACAGCATGGAAAGTCTTTTACGAAAGAATTAAAGCTTCCAGCTTCGTTTTCAACTCTTTTGGCACAAATCGAAACTCCTTTGCAATTCGCTTCGATTGTTATTTGTCCACAATGTGAGCAACATGTTGCTGAAATCCAGAATGCCATTAAAACCAATGAAAATGTGCCGAAATGGGCTGTGGAACTTGGGGTAAGTTTTGTAGTTAAAAGTAATTTTTTATTTTTAACTTTTTCTGCCTAAAAGTAAAAAAAATGTTTTTACAGCTTTCCCACTGAAAAAAATGTCTTCTAAGCGCTGCAAGGATCAATGACAATATATTTCCAGGTCCCAGCAGCCGTTTGCCCCTTATTCTACGCCGTCGACCCTGACCTAGTCCCAATCTGTATGGTTGGTGGCTTTGGACTGAACATGTTTTTGGCCAATTCTGACTCTGCTTCTGTATGCGCACTCTTGCCATTTTGTTCATCTATATCAGGGAGGCCTCACAACGCGGTATCCGACTCTGATTCGTCTTTTGCCAGCGCATTTTCGGGAGTAAGTTATTCTAAAGTTTTTCATAAAGTATCGCTCGTTATCAATATTTAACTCTATTTTTACTTTTTACGAAAACTATAAGAGATTAGCATCTTCTATAGCTCTTTATGAATACTATAATATAAAAAAGTAATTTAAATTTGTATTATATATAAAGAAACTAAAAACAATTTTTTAGAAATCTTCTGAAACTGGCACTGGAGCCGATACCACCACTCTCGTAATAACTACCAGCACGACAGAAGCACCCGAGAGTATCGTTAACAAACTTCAAAATCTTATTTAATAATATGCTTACTATTCATGCGACATTTCTTAATAAATTATTTATTATCTATTATATATATCATTTTTATTGGACATTAGAGCTCGTATTTTACAAAATATATTTTATCATATAAATGGAATAAAAGAAAAGCTATATTTAGATATAATACTTTACAAAAAGCTTTGAATTTTATATAAAAAATACTAAAGAGCTGGTTCTTACTAGTTTAAGTACAGATAATTTTAGTACTAATGTCAGTAAAGTTAATATTAATACTGTTTTTAGTACTAGAAACCCAAGTTAAAACTTAAATTTGAAAAAAAGTCGGATCTGATGCCGAAGCTAAAGCTAGGAATTTAAAAAATGTACTGGTTAGCGCTAAAGACGTGTGAACTGTGGTTAATACTAAAGACGTCAAATTTAGAAGAATAAGTATAACAGTTAAAATTAGAAAAAAATAGCCAAAAGTTGAATAAACTAAAACACTTGGAAAACTAAGTTTTATATTGTAAAAAAAGTTTTGTAGAAACTCGTAATGTTAGTATTACTGTATAACGAACTACTCTATGAAAAATTCTGTATAACAAGCAAATTCTCATTCTTTAGCTATCACTACACAGTGCATTTAAAACTCCTTCAAAACAAAACTCTTTCATAAAGAAAAATCTTGAAATTCTTTAGGTATTCTTTATAAAGGAGTTTAAACGTGCAATATTTAAACCATTAAATTTTAAAAAGTATACAAAAAAGTTAATCTTATGGGTCCATAATCTATCGTTGGCCCATTTTGCAAAAAGGCTTAACCTAAATAATTGCTTATTCAAAAATATTTTTAACACTTGCTAGCTACACCTTACTAGAGCACGTAGTTTTATTATTGTCATGATAAAAAAACTTTGTTTTGTTTTTGTGTTGTTACTTCTATAAAAGGTAATATCTTCAAAACCTACAGTAAAACTCCTGTATAACATAATGTTCGGAAAATTTTGCACTGTGTACTATTTATTATACAAGAGATTTAAAATATATGGTTTTACTGTACTGTAAAACTTACTTTAAAGGCCAAGTAACATTGTAAAAATTAACTAATTTAATTTTACGTTTTAGCCGACATCTTCAAAGATGTCCTCAACTATTTCAAACCGGCATTACTCGACTCAAAAGTAATGGAAGAAATTGGTGTAGCATTGATGGAAAATGAATGGGAACCACACAAAAATGCTTTCGAAAATGTTTTGCCAATGACAGAAGCACTAATGCGACCAATATTCTTGTTAACCATACCATTCGAAAGCCCTGTAGAAGATGTCATTCCTGAATGTAATAAATATGTTGTCACTATTCAAAAATTTTTGAGCCGATACCCTGGAGTTCAGCTTCTGGTAAGTGAATAGCCAAAAATTCTGTTTTTTGTATTAAAATTGAATTAAAAAAAAATTAAAAAAACTTTATATTATTATTATTAAATACTAAATTTTTTTTATTTTAAAATATATTTTAGATACCGTTTGCTTGTGGATTTTTTCAAATGGCAAAGCCAACATTAGTGCCAATTTGTGCTGTCGGAACTGTTGGCGCCTTGATTTATTTTCAAAATGCTGAACCGGAAACTCTCTGTAATATCGCATTTTTTGAAAAAAGCGATTTTGAATTGCTTAAAAAACGAGAAAGTAAACTTTAAGACTTGTGGTGAAGAGTTGCAAGAAGAAGAAAGCAATGATTGTGAATATTCTTCTAATTTCATTTATAAACTAAAATTTAATAAAATGTTATTGTAGAGAAAAAAGAAAGACTCATTAGACATATAAAATCACAACTCGTTGATATGACACTAAAAGGACTAACAATTGTAAATCAAAGTAACATTATAACCAAAGTGTCACACTATCCAAGTAGTTTATGATAGAAGTTCTATTATCAAAGAGCGGTTAGAAAGTTCTCATTATAAAAATAGTGTTAAATAACCGAGGGTAATAATAAAGACGTTTCACTATATGTAAATAAAGCAAATAAAGTAAATACCATTTTTAATGTTTAACTTTTTAAGTTTTATTAAAAAAATTCCTTGCGTTAGTTTCAATTGTAGTCAGGTTTTATGTAGAAAAAAGTTACAGAACCTAACGCTACTATCGAAAAATTGCAAAAATTTTAAATGCACTGTGTAATAATAGCAAGAGATTTGAAAGTCGTTTGTTATACGAAGTTTTAGTTAGAGTTTCGTTATACAGGGGTTCTACGATATATGATTATGTAGGCTGTCTTTGATACAATTATGTAGACTGTCCGTGTGCCAGGAACCAATATTTCTAGCAAACAAGGTCAAATTGAATAATTTTGGTTTAGATTAGCATAAGCATAGACTGTTTGACTGTGGTAATAGAAAATACACAAAGAATTAGCTTTCTGACCCCAATAAACTAGTATAAATAACATTAGCTAAACAAAGACAACATAGACTCGATTCGACCATGTTCAGCTACTGTTTTTACTTTGTTTTGTTTGTCGGCATTGTTTCTGGTAGGTCTTTACCTATTTTCTCATTCTTAGTGCTATTTTAAGACGGTAGTACTGTAAAAATTTTATAACAATTCCAGCCGACCTCCTTGACGATGTAGGTACCTATTTTGAGCCGGCCAAAATCAACCCCCAGGTCGTGGCCACGATTGGCAAAGCCATCTTCGACAATGAGCTTTCTGGTTTTGATAATATTATTGAAGATATTTTTGGCGTCAATAGTATGCCTTTTCGTTATGCTTTTCAACTGATCGGTCCCATGTCATTGGTGACCGGTGCTATGTGCCCAGACTGTCCAGAAACAGCGGAAAGTTTTCAGGAGTTCTTTCAGAAGAATAAGTATGGATTGATAGCGGTAAGTTATTATAAAGACAAAAGTCATAGTTAACCTTAACTTAAGTTTTAAAATTAAATTGCAAAAGTATCCGTATTTTACCCTATTTTCATTTTACAGGCCCCAATGTCATGTGGCCTTCTACAATTCGTTAAACCAAAGGCTGTGCCAATTTGTGCCCTAACCGTTGCCGGTGGCCTATTGTATCTACAAAACTCAAAACCAGTTACTGTATGCGATTTGTTCTGTGGGAACACTACAGTAAGCAAACGTCAACTTAAAGATGTACCAGAATCAGTGGTACCACCCACATCTTTCGAATATTCCGAAGTGATTCCTGATTCTTATGACGATTCTGAAGACACTTCAGAGTACGAATATTCATCTCTGGAGAAGGCCGTGCCTTCAAAAGAATACTATGAAGATTCTGGAGAAAATGAGTATTCAGATGAATCTCACGAAAAATGTGAAGAAATTGCTTCAGAAGCTGATTACAATAGTTATGAAGGTTCTAGTTTTGAGTATAGATCTTTGGAATACTCTGGAGAGCTTTCGCCATCAGAAGAATATTATGAAGAATCTGAAGAAGCCTTTTTCTCAGGCAATTATTATGAAAATATTGACCTGAACATTGAAGATGAATATTTTGAAAGTTCTGGACATTCATTGGAATTTGAGGTATGATACTTATGCTACGTCAATATAATAATAGTCCCTCAAAAATGAACATGGTTTATTACCTAAAAAATTATCAAATGAATAAAAAACGTATTTTATAAACCATGTAGTTTATAAAAAATGCCTGCATCAACGTATTTTACAAAAAAATCTATTTTAAGAGCTCGCCCCCAAAATCTATGAAAGTAGACAACGATGAGATCGAAAAAAGAATGGTTGAAGTAATGAAAAAGCAAAGAAAAAGCAGGGATGTTGGTGAAGAAGTACAAGAAGAATTGGTAATACAATTTTAAAAAAATATTTAAAATTAACTAAAATCTAAAAAATGAGACAAAATAACGTTGACAACAAGGCTTTTTTTGCTAAAAATATTAACAGAAATTTATTTAATTTTTTAAAAAATATTTTCAAAAAGCTATTATTTAAAATACGTTTCAGAGCTCCAGCTGACAACGTTAAAATTACTGACATAAAAGACGACTTAATAGTGCTATGATCGAAACTTTGATAACTTTACCCGAAGAGTTCGAGATGTTGTCGAGACTATCAGCAATTTACCACACTAATAATGACATTATATTACGCTTTGTTTATTTTCGAATAATTTTTAATAAATAAAATTTCATAAACAAAAATTTGTATTTTTTATGGATAATCTATGAAGCAGACTTGAATATGCGAAAAAACCATTTAAATATTTGTTTATTTATTCCTTTTACTCAAGGTTGCACTAAAGAAAATCAAACTAAGAATAATATAATAGTAAAAACGGATACTTGAGAGATCCTAATTATCATCTGTTCCGTGTAATTTGTCGTCTTCTACCCATCGTAATTTAAGGCACCGAGTAAAACATGAGGTCTAAGTGTGACTACTGTTCAAAAATTCTGTTTGTCCACCATTACATAAAACCAGAAAAAGAAACACAATCGCTTTTGAAAAATAATTTAAGAAAAACAAACGGCATAAACTAACCGGCAATAAGAGAGATACAATTGTATATCGCTTGTTATTAAAACACAACACGACACTGATTTCATACTCACATATCTATCGACACTCTGGCGGATGTGCTGGGAACAAAAAATGATATGCTGTCGTGACTGAATAAAGATTGCTAAAAAGTTTATTTCAATGTTCCTGAGGCTAGAAGATCGTAATGTGCCTATACCTATACAAATATTTAGGCATGCCTAAATACTGTAAAGGTCTCCAAGAAATTTAATTCAATTGTTCTCAAACTAATAAATTGCTTGAAATCAGGCCGTCCCGTTGCTCATGTTTGCTAATAATTACCAATACTTGAAGCCAGACGTCTGCAGACGAAACAATAAGAAGAAGGTTAGTTTTATAACGATTCGTGACAGTAACTTTCTTTACAAAATCAAAAAATATTGCTTAAGACAAAAATATAGAACATGTATTAGTTATTATGTTGTAGTAACTATAAATATTAATGCTAAAGTAGAGAAATAGAACATTGTGCTAGATTTATTAGTATAAATAAGCTATGCAATTGCATTACAACATAATTTGATTGGTTTTACATTTTTATTGTACAGGATGTTCTCCGACATTAAATACTTGCTTTTTATCACTTGCATGGTATCAGGTAAGTATGTTATAAGATAGTTAAGTACATTTCTTATTAAAAAAATAAAACTAAAACCTTGTTTTCAGCTGATTTTTTCAACGAACTCAGTAACTACCTGAAACCGGCTGCCATAAACTCTGAAATTGCTGCTCAACTCGGTAAAGTTTTAGTTGAAAGTGAACTGGCAGCAAATCCCAAGATAATTGATGATTTGATCCCAGTGGATGGAATGATGGTCAGGTACATCTGGCAGTTGGCCAAGCCTCTGGAGTTGTTGTCAAGCTCGGTTTGTCCAGATTGTGTTGGTTTTGTCAGTGATTGGCAAAAGGGCTTGGTTGATCATCCTGCTACTAATGTTATGGTAGGTGGGGTTGAGCGGGTGATTTTAGGTTGGGTGAGTAATTTTAGGCTAACGAAATATAGATTCAAAGAACGTTTATAAAGCCGAGACAACTCCTCTTTTTTCTATCAGCTTATAGTACCATACTATGTTTCTACAACATAATATTACCTAAAAACCTTAAAATTAAATTTTCAGATCCCGATGTCATGTGCCCTCTTACAAGTAGTCAAATCAGAACTAGTACCAGTTTGTGGTGTATCATCGATTGGAGCCTTACTGTATTTTCACAATTCCAAACCAAAAGCGATTTGTGAAATTTTCTGTTCAGCTAACTCAACATCAAAGAGAAATGCCGCATTTGATGCCAATGAATTCGCACGAGAAGTTCGAAATGTTTTCAAAAATTTAAGGAAAGGTCAATAATAAAATTTAAAGACCATTTTTAATTGTTTATACCAAAAAATTTTAAATTTTTAAAATTTAATTTATTTGAAAATTATTTATTTATGAGTACCTTTGCTATCCTTATCTTATCAATGTTATCGAAAACCGTCTCTTATATTATTTATTGCGCTTTACAAGCTAATAATACATTGTAAAATATAAATTTTACTAATAAAATAAGTTGTAATAAAGTAATTCTTTAAAATACTGTATTATAACAAGTGTAACCTTACAATCACAACACTTTTTAATTAAAATTTTTTAATTAAACTATAAATTTTGGTTGTTACAGTACTTTTCACACTGTAATCTCTAAAATTTTAATTTTTACTTATCATGATGTTACAGTAACTTTTATACTTAACATAATGTTACAGTAACCTTCAAACCATCTAGAACAATCCTTCAGTAATCTTCGAACGTTCTAGAAGAACTCCTCGCTAGATTCATCCTCATTCTCAACGTACTTCTTTGGAGCCGGCACCAAAGGCTTTCCTTGAGTGTTAGTAGCTTGAGCAAAGCCAACCCTGTTCTGACCAAAGTCAAATACAGTGTAATATCTTCCAATGAACACGTCACCAAGAATCCAGAGGTCACCAGCAGATGGTGGAAGGTCGATACCCATGAATCCGGAGATACAAATAGACTTGCCCATACTTGATACCTTGAGGATGTAATCTTCACCCTTCAATGTATAGGTTTGTCCTCCAATGACCAATTGTACTGGTGGGAGGTTTGGTACTTGTTCACAGTGTACCATGTACTCTCCTTTGGCTAGTGGTTCAGCACCAATAAACTTTTGAATGTTTTCGATTTGAGCTTTAGGGCCGGCGATTAGGGAGGTTCCGGTGTCAGCAATGGCCTTAAAATGAAGTTTTAAGTCTCTAAACTAGCCTTTTTAAAACTTTTTAAAAATTTTAAGATTTAAACGTTTACAATATTTTGATTTGCAAACACTATGTTCAAACGGCGTATTTTACACAGCCAAAAAACTTACCTGACAGCCGTTTTCACAAGCAATAGGACCGTTGTTGCTGTCAATAACCTTGTCCATCTTGAATTGCCAATAGGCCTTGCGAGTTACTTCAACATAGTTAATGTCTCCAGAATAACGACGAGAGTCTGTACCGCCAAAGGTGATTTCTCCACCAACTTCGTCTTGTGGGTTTCTGGAAAATTTTAAATTTTAAAAATTTAAAAAAATTCAAAATTTAAAAATTTCAAAAAAGAGTCTTTAAACGTATAATTTATAAAAACTTTTAAAATGTAAAAAATAAAGAAGTTGCGTCATGGCGTATTTTACCACAAATAATTCCTTACCTGTCAAGCCAGAACGAGAAAACAGGGTAAGGCACCTTCTTCTGGTCGATTAAAGTATTGAAAACTGGAGAAACTCCCAAAACAGCGATACTTGGGTATGCCATTCCCAAGATACCATCAAACTTGGCAGCGATAAAGGTAAGACCAGGTTCACTAGTAGCTTCAGCAAATCCTTGTTCTTCAGCACAAATTCCAGCTACACAGACTTGATCCTTTGAAATGAAGCCTTTCATAGAGCCTGTTCCATATTGAATCTGCATTTTGCGACCATCTTCCTTGTAGGAGCTTGAAGAGCCTGAGTCGTAGCGGTGGTGGAGCACTGAAAATGGTGGGGATTGATATTGTTTTAAGTATAAAATAATTAAAAAATAATTTTATTGAAAGTTTGTTAAAATTTCAAATTAATTTTTTGAATTTAAAAAAAAACAAAATTTTTTAAAAATTTTCGAAAAATTTTTTAAAATATTGATTTTTTAAACAGACAATGCCAAACTTACTACAAGCCACATCGTAGAAAGGACACTTCTTGGACGGAATCCACAAATTCGAGCTTCCAGTATCAAAGATTACTGTAAAGTTTTGAGAAGGACTTCCAATCGAGATTTCACCGTAATATTGAGCATCCATGTAGTTCTTCAACAGTTCGTCAATTTCCTTATCTTGGACTAGGCTAGCATCTCCATAGTCTTCTAGATCCAGGAACTTGTTACGAATGGCTTCTGAACGATGCTTCATGTACATATCATGAGAGCCGGCTTTAATCAGCTTTTCACGGAGAGTCTGCTGCTTTTTCAGTGGGATTCTGAAATTTTTTGTAAAATACGTGTTTTTTAAGTGTTCCATCATATGTCAAAAAAAATTAAAAAAAAATTTTTTTTAAATTTTTTTTTATTTTTTAAAAGTTTTTAAATATTGTAAAAAATAATTTTTTTAGTCTAAAAATTGTTGAATTTATACCTATATTTCAAGCCATTGTCCTCTTCCGTATCAACATGATGGTGATGATGACGGCGGTAGTGGGCGGTAACATCGCCTAGCACTAGCAATGCTAGAACAAGTAAAGCTGCACTTTGGTGTGCCATGCTGAAATGAATTCGATAAAAAATTCGTTTTTTAAAATTTTTATTAAAAAATAATGTCAATCACGCCATTTTTAAATAAACATAGCAAAGCGTACTGGTTGTAAGTAAACAAAAAAATACAATGGCTTTAATATTGTAGTACGACTCAACGACAATATTTTACTGTAATTACTTGTTGACATGTATGTATGATGTCATATGTCATTATTTTAATTTTTTTTTCTTTTTCATTACTGTTTTTGTTTATAAAGTAAAATTTTTTTTTACTATAAAAATTTTTTTTTATTTTAGAAATTTTTAATTTTAAAAAATTTAGTTTCAAAAAAATGTTTTAAAACCTATAAAATCAATAAAAATTCAAATTTATAAAATTAACCTCTAATCAACCGTAAATTGCCAGTCCAACCAATACAAGTCCCTCTCACCCTTCCACTGATCTCAAACTGATAACAAGTCCGAAGACTTTCGAGCAACAAAAGTGAAATGCCCATCCGAGGGTTGATAAGTCCTTGTTTAAATGAGGCACCGATTGACACGCCAACTGATTTTGTTTTTCTCAAGTTTCGACCGAAAAAAGTTCTTATCAACCGGAATGGACCGTTCCCGAAGAGTCAGCCGACCCAACTTTTGAAATTTGATATTGATGTTGTTATGATCGAAACGTGTGTGTGTTCTTGTCATAAAATTTAGCAAAATGTTGTAAACGGTTGGTAAATATGACTAATCTGTGATTGTGATGACCACAAAAAGTTGTTGAAAGTTTGAGTATAAGTATTGAAACTATAAGTCACCCTCTACTATCTCGAACGGATTCAAGTTCAAGATAGTAGAAAGTGCTAAAAATTGTTCTAAACAACCTAAAACTTTTAAAATGGTAAAATTAGTTTTTACCTAATCTTAAAAAAAGTTTTAAATGTGCATGCCCGGCAGCATAATACCAGCTTATGAAATCTATGCCTGAACCTAGCACTATTTAATGCCTCAACCTAACACCATAAAACGTAGTAAGCTTGATAATGAACTTACACAGCCTAGAAAAACATTAAGACATTACCAAGCAAAGCACCAATATTTATACTGATAATTTTGCAGTTTGTTTTGCTTCTAAACTTACCATTACTCATCTAAAACTATACTTTATATTAAAAACATAAGCACAAGATCTAAATCATTTAAAAAATAATTAAAAAAATGAATAATATACTAGAAACGTATTATTTGCAATGATTTTTAAAACACATGAGATTAAAAACTAAAAGCCAAAAAATCAAATTGAAATTATCTAACTGCAGTAGGACTCCTGTATAACAAATCGCTCGGGGATTTGAAATATGTTCTTTAGGAGTTGTGTTATAAGAAGCTTTAAATGCACTGTGTAGTGATAGGTGTCGATTCAGAAGTTGTTCGTTAAACAAGATTTTTGTTATAGAGGAGTTTGTTATACAGGAGTTTCACTGTATATTATAATAAATTGGGAAACGTCGTATTTTACAAAATTATTAACATTGCTTTTTAATTTCAAAAAAATTGGTTTATAAATTCTAACTTAACCCACAAAATAAGACAAAAGCTTTAAAAATACCAATAAAATCCACTTTCAAAGAATTATTTGTTTTGTAAGTTAAAATGACTCAAGATCACTATTTGATCAGATAACAAGCATGAACTAACAATTTAAAAATGGCCTTCAAAGATATAACTTTTTTTGTTTTGTAGCTACAAGTATATAATAGAAACCAAGGCTGTCGACAGATAAACAGAAAGTATCGGCCAAATTAGATACATATATTGACTAAGTTTAGCCGAAATTATTCTAGTAAAATCAATCAAAATTTTTTTGATTTTTAGATATTTTTGATATTTTGTCGATTTTAATACTAAAATTATTTTTATAAAATAAAAAACATTTTTTAATTAAAAAACGAGATTATCAATTACTAACACTACAATATAAAAAACTATCAATCTGTAAAACTAGCAAACAAGACGTTAGGTATGCACTATATCACTACTATTTACATTTAATTACCCATTAACTACAATTAAAAAACAATTAACTACTTGTCCATAAATTGCTCGCTTAACATTAACTAATTGGAATATTAAAACGTTTATCAGTAACTGCAAAGAAAATAAAAAAAACAATGATTACTGTTTAGAAAAAGTACGAAAAACAAAATTTATTATTGAAAAAACTGTTTTTAACGTTTTATTTGGAAAAAAACAAAAGTTCAGTGGTGAAACTCTTGTATAACAAATTGTCATAAGATTTAAAGTTTGTTTGCCATAATGGAGTTTTGGTATAAAAGAGTTTCAAATGTACTTAAAGGGGTAGACGCAGTTGTTCGCTATGCAAGATTTGTTTTGTAGAGAGTTTGTTATACAGAGATTTCACTGTATATTTACGGAAAACTTTATTTTACAAAGGTGTGAAAAAAGATATACATTACCATAACAAAATAATAGTGCTGACCAGAAAACATAAAGATACAATTACTATATATATTTACTGTTTAGACTCGGCTTTTTCCAGGCCCGAAACCTCGCGATTGTACTGGTACACTTTGTCGTAATCAATTTGTAGGAAATACGAGGAACCGGGCAGAATGTTCAAGATGGATAATCTAATCGGCTCCACGTTCCACAAAATTGAGATTGCTCGGAATAAACTCAAAAATAACGGTGCTAATACAAACGACGATTCCAGAGCGGCACTGATTAGCTAAAATAAGGTATGTACAACGAAAGCTTTGTAAACGGACTTGTTTGTTATAAAAGAGTTTTAAATTCATTTTTTAGTTAGTATCAAACATTATATTTCATTTCTATAAGACCAAACTTATTTTACCTACCGATTCATTAGTTTCATCGTAAATGTACTCATAAACGCCAATAAATCCACTCAAGAACAATATCAAGCACCATCCAACATTCTCTCCGACCATTTCTTCTGACAACGACCTTACACGTTGATCTTGTTGTTGGTTACTGACTTGTCGTTGAATTAACAACCACATGAACAGAGAAAACAACTGAATACTCAACAAGGCCGTGAACATTGCAAATGCCATTCGCTTTTCATGAATTGCTCGTACTATTAGGCACTGAAATTTTTTAAGGTATAGAAAATTTCGGTCAATAAATTTTAATTATATGTAAAAATAAAGTTTTTTTAGTAAAATACGTTAATCTGATGGGTCGTTTTTAATAAATCCGCTTTAGTATCTAACTCAAGGAACTGGTTTAAATCTGTCTTTATAACTAGGGTAGCACACTACCTACATAGGTACTTTATAATAGAAGATCTCTTACAATAAGCGTTCAATGAGCTAAAAAAATGATTTTATAATACTAAAGAAACTTCACTGTATAAGAAATTTAATTTAAAAAAACTTTTAAATTGGATGATATCTTAAGAAAATAGTTATAACATTATAATATTTTACAGCATATTATTATAAGCTTACGTGTTTCAAATATCTACCACGATTTTCATGATCGAATGCTGTGAACCATAAAGCAATGGCCAAACAAAACACAGAAATTAAGAGTTGAGTAATTGAGCAAGCGTTTAGGTAATTTATTTGACGTACTCTGTGACTAAAATTTTTTTTAATTATAGTTTTTTGAAACTCATTTTAAAAAAGTTTTTTTAAATAAGCAAAAACTTTTTTAAATAAATTTTGGAGAGGAAATCAATTTTATCGATTACCATACAAGACGTAAGATCTAAAATAAGATTATTTTTCCAAATTACTTACTTTTGTTTGAAGAAGAACTGAATAGCCAGAAGAGCTGGGAAGAAGGCAGCTTGAAAGTACACAAATACTAATGGAAACTCTTGTATTTTACAGTTCGCTGTACTGACAGTAGTGTTGCAAGTTGAATACGCTATGAATCCCACAAACAAAGATCGAGCTAACACAACTCCAGATATCAAAACGTAGTTAAGGCTTATTGCACCCTAAAAATTATATAACAGTTCAAGGAGTGTCATTCTAACGAGGTTGGACTGTAAAAACTTTTTCGAAGTATTACTATCATATGGTCAATAATATTGTAGGTCACTTACCAAACTTTGTCGCTGTGAAAATGTAAAAGGCAAGGAATGGTATGAACATACAGCTAATGTGCAGTTTAGTAGTAACGACACGATACTAATGCAGCATTCAGCGAGTACCAAAAAGCTAAAGAAAAAGTCGCCTTCACTATGACATTCTACTGCCATTTTTTGAAATTTAGGGTAAAATAGGTTTGACGTTTTTTTATATTTTTAATTTCCTATAGATTTTTAAAAATATTATAAAAATATAATTAATAGCTTTAAAAAAATTTTTAATTTTTGCAATTTTATGCAAAAATAGTATTAGATACACAAGAAAACGTAAACCAACATAAAAAACAAACTTTTTTGTGTTTGTGCGTTTTTCTGGAACATTTTAAAATCGAATTAGTGTGAAAGATAGATAGACTGACCCGACTAATGGTGATATGAAGTCGGTCGTACATCCGTCAAACTCTGGACTTGCCATCTTTAAATTCAATATTTGGTCGACGTTTGCAAGCTAAAATCTGCATTTAATAAGGCTTAAAATTCAAATTTTGAATAGAGTAAAAAACACATATTGTAAATCAAATGATAATGTAAATCACCAAAACTTAAAATTTTAAAAATAAAAAATAAAGCCGATACAACATTAAAAATGACAAAAAAGTTCCTAAAACTCAAAAAAAATCTCTCAAAGAAACAAAATCCAAACAATGTGAACATTGGATGGGTAGTGCTTTTAGATGTGGTTTCATTCATTTGAAAACTAACTCAACTTGAGTCCAAATCCGGCTTCATTCAGCCTTTTCTTCCGAATCTCTTAAAGATGATACACAGACTTTGCAGACGTTTCTGGGCCTAAATTTTTAATTGTTTTGGCATTGTGTGGTTTGTTTTGGTTTGTTTGTCAACAGATTTGTAAATTTTTGAGTTTTTGAAATGGTAAAATTTTTGAAGATTTATAAAAATTATGGTTTAAAGTTGAAAAAAGTTTAAGAAACAAAGTCTTTATAAGCTAAAAGCCTAGTAAAAACCCATTTTTATAACTATTTAGCCAAAAATATAGCTGTTAAAGTATAAAATAACTTTTTTCACAGTTTTATTTACGGTTTACATAGCTCAACATAAACCCACAACAAAAGAAATTGTTTACAGCTAGATCGACACGTTTAAATGTAAAGGAACTTGTCCCAATTTGTAAGTATTTTGCGTCGAAAAACATAGATTTTGCCAAAAAACATGTTTACAGTAATGTCAGCGGGCTTTCGATTACTCATTCAAAAAAATTTTAAACTGCTGATGGGAAATTTAACCAAAATATTTCCAAAGTGTTTTTTTTCAAATCAACTCTAGTTTTTGTAATAACATATGATTGGGCTATGGTTTTTAGGTTTTGAAGTTTAACGGTTAGAAAAAAATGTAAAATACGGTAACTGCAGTGTTTCTGTATAACGAATAACTCATGAACTTTAAATTTATTTGTTATAAAGAGATTTCTTTCTACAGGAGTTTTAAATTCACGAAGTTGTGTCGACTAGGGATTAAAAAATTGCTTGGTATGTATGTTTAGACGAGTTTGTTGTACGAGGTTTTTCCTATAATGGCTCTTTCCTTAAAAATAATCTTGAATTTTTAAGACGTTTGTTCATTTTCAGATATTGAATATCTTGTGTTTGAAAATTTTGAAACGTTTACGACCAGTCAAAACCCCGTTTAAAACAACGGGCCGTTTTTAAGATAAATGTCAGGAATTTCAACAGATTTACAGATATTTCACATTTTAACGTTCCCATGAGAATTCTTGTTTAGCCCAGCTTTTTGTAAAAATAAAGGACTTTCCTGATAGCCATTTTGACTTTTTTTTCCTTGAATAATGTTAAAAATTATTTTTTTTTAATTAGGATATTTTTAAAATTTTTTATATTCCAAATTAATTAAAAAATATTTTAGAAAAATAATAGTCGAAATGGGCTAAACTTTTTATAAAATGACGCTTTTGTGGCCATTTTATGCGTTTCTTCCGCCTTTTGGCACATTTCACGCAGTGCATAAGAAAGTGCAGTTTCCTATTTTTTCTATAGAAACCGAGTTCGGGAATGACCTATGGTTGAAAATAGTCTAAACGTGTTGTAGGGTCGTGCTTATAAAGAATGGGTTTTTGAGAGTTTATTTTAGGGTTATGTGTTTACATAAGATTGGAAAAAAAGAAAGAGTAAAAGAAGAAAATTTAAAAAAATTTGAAAACAAAAAACTGTGGTTTTGAATGTACTTTTAAAAAACTTAAGGAATGATGTCTTATCAGGGGTTTCACGAAAGTTTTTTGACGTGGGAAGAGGACAACAGTCAATTTTTTGTTTAAAAGTAGCTAGATACCGGTACACCTAATTAAACAATATTTTTCTAGTTTTTCACGTAGTACAGGTAGCTACCTAGCAATTTTTTAAATTGGTTTTAGAAAGGAGTTAAATTCACCCTTATTTACCTTCTTTCTTATTTTTATACAAGAAGTCCTCTGTATGTTATGTTAAAACTTTGAAACCAATAAGTTGTCTCCAGGCGCCAAAAAGGAAATCGAGTAAGGGTCACTTGAACGTCCTCAAATGAAAAGGCCAAAAAGCAAAACAATCCCTTCTGACTTATAAGTGTTCGGAAGGAAGTCAGCTTTCTTCCAATTTGCATACTTTTTGTGTAACTAATTTGTACATTTTGTATAATACGGGAGGCAATGGGCAATTTAAAAAAAGTATAACAAGTAAGAAAATTTAAAATTGTTATTTAAAAATTTGTTTTAAGTTAACACTTCTAAACACAATTTTACACCTAAAACACTGTTTGATTAGAACTTTTTTTAAATTATAGAAATCTGTCGTTTCTTCTCATACGTGTTGCGTTAGTTAAAGCTGACATGGCCAGATTAGCGCGACCTTTCAGATTCTCGGCGATACGTCAAATTTGTTTTGCCCAAGAGCCTCAAGGGAAATCAAGGCAAAATATCTGATTAGAGGGCAAATAGTTTTTTTTTTTTTCTCCGTATGTTTTGTAGAAAGCTTTGGCATAATTTTGTTGCATATTTAGTACTTGTAAAATACGCTTTAAAATTTCTTTGTTATACGGGGTTTTTGTTACAGGAAAGTTTATTATACAGGAGAGCTACGGCAATAAAATTTTTTTCAAATTAAAAAAACCGAAAAAAATTTTTTTGAAATTTTAATTTTGCGTAAACGGGTTATTCTTTTAGTGAGTCACAAGGCCAGATTGCCTTGGTTCTTACTGTTCGATAAGATCGTAGCAGACCAAAAGCCGGATACATTTAAAAAATTTAATGGTTTTACTCATTTCTAATCATTTTAGAAAATTTTTTAAATTTATCACTACAGTGGAACTTTTGTCTGACGAAAACCCCGTATTACAAACGACGGTTTTAGTTAACACTACACAGTGCATTTGAAATTCCTGTACAACGGCTTTTTTAACAAAAAATTTTAAAATTTTTTAGCGGCTTATTAGTACAGGAGTTCCACTGTAGTTCTTTTACTTTAGAATTCAACTTACCATGTCAATTGCGTATTATACATTTGGTTATCACAAAATAAGTATGTTGTCTTACCCAAAAATAGGTTTTTATACATATATTACACTAACCCGCGTCATAAAGACTAACCTTTTCCCATTGTACGCAAATCAAAACGGCCGGTATTTTGTTATTTGTGAGAAGGTTCGGAACGTTTTATAAAAACCTGAAACAAAACCTTTCTTTGTAACAGTTTTACTTTGGCATCGCCGCTTTGCGGTCAAACCTGACATGAGTGAATTTTTTTTTTGAGATGAAACATTTATCGTATAGTTTAGATGGGTATGGCAATTTTATGCAAGAAGTTTTAGTTTGTTTAAAATTTTAAAAAAAGTTATTTTATGTATAGACCTGTATAAAGAAAAAATTTTAAAAAGGTGGAGATTAAACAGCATTTTTCGTTTTTGCAGGCGGAATTTTAACGGTTTGCGCAACTGCGCATACGGCTTATGGTCGTATATGCGTGAAAACGGATTTAAACTTGAAACTTTTCAAGTTTATTTTATTTTATTTTTTAGTATAAATCTTCAGTACAACAAAACTCCTTTATAACGAACAACTTTTAAATCTCTGAGCGATTCGTTATATAGGAAGTCCACTGTACTTAAGTGACTTTTTAAATTATGCAAAATAATTATAGCCACAATTCAAATTCAGTAGCTTTGCGCATTTGTATGCAAACCCATTGTTTCACTTGTTGTTTTACCTAATTTGGCAGTTCACATTTAATATTCTCAAAGCCAGCCGGACATATGTTGTTTTATTGTTGCGAGTTAAAACAATAAAAACGAACGTATGTTTGACACAAAAATGATTTTTTAATATTAATTTTTTAAATATAGGAATGTTTTTATAATTTTTGTAAAATACGATAAATTAATGCAATCATTTATTTTATTTTTTAAATATTTAAATTTCTACCTTTTAAAAAATTTATTCGAAGTCAAAAAAAACTGGTAAGTTTTACAGCTATTTTACTTTGCAAAGAACTGAGTAATGTTGTTTTGTCATAAATAAATTATAATGTTTTCAACAAATTTCAAAGACTTTTGGCTAAGTTTTTTTGCGGAGATAAATACTCTTAGTGACCATAACAACATGTGGTCATTATGGTCGTATTAATCTATTCATTGCCTTTTGACATGTAATTTTTTCGGCTATGTTTTGTCACGATTATTATTATTCTTCTTTGTCATAAAAAAACCTTATTTTGAGTAAAATACGTCTATTACGATATTTTTTTTTATTTAAGTCATTTTTTGTGATAAGCAGCTTTTTATTATTAAACATACAGTAAAGCGTCTGTAAAACGAATTCGTCGTATATTTAAAGTTGTTCATCATAAGGCGGTTTGGCATAGTGGAGTTTGTTATACAGTACAGTTTATACAGTATTTTTACGCTTATTATTTAAAAAAAAAGTTTTTAATAAATATCTCGGTAGATTTGAAACGCCATTTTTATTTTTGTTTGTTTATTATAATAATATGCCGTTCTTTCGCGCACTTCCTTTTATCCAATAAACTGTCATTAATCCTATCAAACCAATATTATTACGCCTAATTGGGATTTTGTGGTTTATTGACCAAAAATAATATTTTAAAATACTGTTTTGTTATATACAGTGGCACTCCTGTATAACAAATCTGTCGGGAATGTTTGTTCGTTATAGAAGAGTTTTCTTTATACTGAAGTTTTAAATGCACTGTGTAGAGACTGTGCGGTAGGGGATTCAAAAGTTGCTGTTTATAAGGGGAAAGGTGAATTTTATAGAAAAGGTCGTTATACTGGAGTTTTACTGTATATTGATATACTGCTCTGTTAACTATTCAACGCGATTTGTTTGGCTTTAAGACTAATAAAAAATATTTTTTTAGAAAATGAAAAACCCATTGTTATCATTAACATATTTCTTATCACTTACGCTTCAACTTGTAAAATCAGATGTTGGAGTTCACTTGGATCACACACCAGCTAGTGGTGGATTCTTTGATTTGCTCGAGGAAGAAAATTTTAAAATTCAGTGCATTTCAAATGAACCGGTTGAAAGTGAAGATGACATAAAGTGGACAACGGTCGACAATAATGAAATTGATTCCGCTTCTATGAGGTAAAATACGAAGTTTTTTTTAAAAGCGTCTTTTAAATTTTTTTAATTTAAAAAAAATTCGATTTAAAATTTGTAAAACTGCTAAAGGTAGATTTATACACAGTAAAGGCCGTCAAAAATATATAAATTTGCAGGTTCTAATTTCCATTTTTAGCCGATTCACAATTTCTTCTCGATTACGAAAAGGTCAAGTGATAAAAACGTTGATCTTTACCAAAATTCAGCCACACGATGAAGGCACTTATTATTGTCAAATGTTCGATCGTGGTGAACTTCTCAAAAGAATTGATGTCAATATTAGAGTTAGCAGTAAGTTTAGAATCTTACAAGGAAAGTACCGATTTGCCCACTCAAAATTAGCTCAAAGTTCTTACAACGCAAATTAATCAAGCACAGGTTTGACTAGGCTTATTGAAACTGCCATTTCTTATAACATAAAACACTTTCCAGAAAAAGTCGTATGGAGTTCGAATGCCACTGAGCTGGGAGGTAAAATTGGAGAACCATTGACGATTGATTGTGGCACGAAATCGAATCCAGAAGCTGAAATTGAAGCATACGATAGTAATGACGTTCCGTTATTGGAATCTGAATTGAAGTTTGTTAGAGCCAACAATGAGTTCACAATTCCAGCACTAACAGACGAGTATCAAGATGAAGAAGTTACTTGTAGTGCGTATGTGACCTTGCAGAACAAAGTTACGATTACTGTCAGCAAAGTGGTCAAAATTAAGGTTTATAGTAAGTTGTGGTTTAAAGAGTTTATTATTACGTTGTTCAAATTATTCTAAGCCTTCTAACACAAAAAATTTTGTTGGAGATGGGGCACAGAATTATTTTAACAGCCTAATGTCTTTATCTAAAATTGTTTATTTTAAGGTTGTTTGTTACCTAAAATGATAGTAAAAGCAATGTAAAAACCCAAAAAAAGCAATAATAACCTGATGACCTTCTTCAGAAAAACCAGAATTCAAGAAGATCCATCACGTTGTGCATGCTGTTGTCGGTCAAACAGCTCGAATCAGATGTGAAGTCTTAAGTTCCGTGCCAAATGTGGTTAACTTTCAGTTTATGAAGAATGGACAGCTTATTGAAACAAGCTCAGAGTACCGGGTAGATAGTTTTCCTTCAAAAGGCTATGCCATTTTAAGTGTTGTTGATGTACAAGACAATGACTTTGGAACTTACAAATGTATTGCTCATAACTCAATATTGAGTAATGAGGTTGATATCGATTTGGTTGCGGCTAGTAAGGGCTTTAGTTTTTTTATTTTTAAAGTTTTTTAAAAATTTATTTTTGTACTACTATATTTATTTAAGATTATAATAATAAAAAATAGTTTTTAATGTAAATTACGATACAAGTTTTAAATTAATATTGTTTTAGAAGCTCCAAAACAGCCAAAAGTAGCTTTCCTTGGCTTTAATGATGGCGAAACCACATGGAAAATTGAAAATCAAGAAGCGAATGAACTGCCAGTAACAACGTACTCAATTCGATATGCTATTGAGAGGCTAAACACTACTGCAACCTCAAACCTGGTAAGCTTAATAATTTATTTACAGCATAAATTCTGAACAACGAACTCTTTTATATAAAAAAACTTTAAAAACGAACAACTTTTCAATCTCTTGTGTAGCGACAGGTTTGGCCAACCTCGAACTGGGTGGGTCTAATGGGCTCCTTTTTAAATCTAATATACAGTTATTTTGTTTTAGAAACCTGGAGACAATGTGGCAAGAGAATGGTTGAAGCAAAATCACTACGCTGCTTCAGAAATTGTTGTAAAACGAGGTAAGTTAACGGAAAGTCATCTCATATGTCAAAAGTAAAAACATATTGAATTTATTTTTTAAAAATATGGTTTAACTTTACGTTGCTCGTACTTTACACTTATGCTTTTTACATTTAGTGTCTTCAAACTTGTACAAAATCGATGGACTATTCAAGGAGAACCGGTACATGTTTGAATTTACCCCAAGAAACGCTGCCGGCACCGGAGAGCCATTTTATGTTACAGTAAATTTGGAGAAGAATGTAGAAGTAGCTGACTCATCAAATGTTGTACATTACTTTTTTGTTGTTTTCACCGTTTTAATAGCCTTATATTTTATGTAAACTTCGCTTTTTATAATTTATTTTAGTTAAAAAATATTTTTGTATTTTTTATTCCAGCTTTGAAAATGACATTTTTTCCAAATTCAGAGATTATTTTATTAAAAATTTATTATTATGTATTGTTCTTAACAAAAAAGAAATTATTTGAAAACGGGGTATATTCATTGACATTCACTATATGCATTATTTTACACATTTGAAACTATGTACTTTAATAAATTTTAAATTTGTAATGCTCTGGGCGGCTTTTTAAATAAAAAATTTTTTGCTAGGTCTTCAAGCGGTACCTAATTTATAATTGTTATATTTTCAGAAGAATTGAATTTTATTAGGACTTTAACTACATATAAGGATTTTTTGAAGTTGCTTTATTATACCAAAAAAATATTGGAACTTGTACCAACTGCATCTGAATCCCAGTATAACGAATTGCCCGAAAATTTTTAATTTTTTTGTTATATAGGAATTTTGGTGTACGGGAGTTTTAAATGAACTTTTTGTGTTAGTCAACGATTCTAGAGCTGTTTTTTATAAAGAACTGTTGTTATATGTAGTGGAGTTCGTTAGACATTAGTTGATTATAAACACGTTTGTTGAATAGAAGTGTATTATTATACGAGAGTTCTACTCTAAATATAATAGCATAAAAATTACAAACTTTCTCTTATTTTTTAATTCAAAACTTTGTTTTTTACTTGTTATTTCCATTTTGCCAGACCAATTTCAATTCTTCAAAACACACAAACCCATCTGACGTGGTTCATCAAAAACCAAGCGTAATCAGCTGACCATTTCCCAAAAGTGTGCTTAATAAATTGGTTTCTTGTGTTCTCTAACAACTCTTTACATTCACTCACGAGATTCCAAAGCCCCCCATCTGACCTCTAGGCTGGACTCTGTGTTTGTCTCCGTTCCGAAAGGAACGGAACGTCAAACGTCTATCAGCTGATTTCACTCCTTGTTTTTTGCGATTTCGAATTGGGTTTTCGAAAGGATTGGGACAGTATAAACACGACTTTTGGGAGTACGTTTGGGGTGGGTATTGAGGGTTGAGTATGCTGTGGTTTGGGTGTTGTTTTAGAAGGGTTTAGTTTATGAGCTTACAGCTACGGGGGTTAGTATGTTTAGGGACAAGGGTAAAGACAAACAGGGTAGAGGAGTAGTAGAGGAAAAACAGTAGAAAAAGGAAAATAAAAACGGTAAAAAATGATGATTTAGCTGCTACACTTAACACTTTTGTAAAAAATGGTTATCTCTTTTTCTTTTCTTCTGATACTCTCCAGGCTAGCTCAGCCAGAAGCTTCAGTCCACTCATACCGCTCTAAAAATTATTCTTTTGTATTGTAACGCAAAGCTACTACAATTGCAGTTGTTATTTCTAAAATTCCTTTTGTTTGCATTAACTTGTGATTTCTTTTTGAAGTTGACGTCAGACAGATAATCGGGCCTCATTTTATGGCCGTTTTGTTATTGTTTTTGGCCGTGTATGACGATTGTCGGTAAAGACGGAAATGCACAATAAACGAAAATAGTATTTTGAGTGGTTATTAGTATTAAAACCGGGGAAGTAATTTAGAAAATTTAGATTTTATAAATTTAAAAATTTTTTTCTCATTTTTAAAAATTAAAAAAAAATAAAAAAAATTGATCACATAGAAAAAGTAAGACAAAAACGGTGTATGCTCGAAATTTCAGACTTGTTTAAGCACCATAAAACAAGTTCTGACTCTCTAAACTTAAACCCACCCTCAGCAAAAAGAAAATTGTTTTAAAATCAAAAATTTTGATGACAAATCAACTTTAAACATAACCAAATACGATCTATCATCATTGCCACATACTCGTTTATCAACATGTCTGTCAGCACTTTTTTCTCTTATCTGTTTTTACAGTGAACACCTGTCTGTTTGTTTGAATTTGAAAAAAAAGGGAACGTTCGGTGCGCTTGAATGTTTTGCTTTTCAAACTTTGCAGTAGATGTTTTGTAGCGTGTAAACTCTGTAAACAACGTTGTAAATATTTTTTACATTTGTTTGGTTTTTGAAAGTTATGGTGACATTTTGAGATTTTAAAATGATCTTTTCTTACTCTAATCAATCTCAGTAGTAAGTTTGTGCTTTGGTACTGTATAATATGTTCTTATAAAAATCTTTTTTCTTCTAGAAGACAAAATTTTATATTGTGGTATTAAAATTTAACAATTGTTTGTACCTATAGGCTTACAAAATGTAACATTTTATACTTTACACTGCTTTTCTAATCTTACACTAACCATTTCCTTTGAATTCAAACCTTTTCCATTTTATTTAACAAACAAATTACCACTTTTCAAACAACTTTTTATATTTTTTATAAACCTTTGCAACCATTTATTGTTCTTCTTTCACTTCAAATACAATTCTAATTTTTATTTTGTCTTTATTCTCTGAATTCTCCACTTTTTATGCACTCTTTTTCTATAAAAAGCACTTTACAAAGAATTTCCAACAGGCCCCGAAGCATCATTCTGACCGAAGACTATTCACGCGAGAAAGCCGTCTAAAAACAAAAAAAAGGAACGGCCCGTTCGTTTTTATTTTTTTTTTCAAAAAGCCTTTTGAAAGTTGAAATTTGAAAGGGCCTAGGGGGGTAGGGAAGAGAGAAGAGGGTTAGCAAGAGGAGGGTAGAGTAGGGAGAAGGAAGTTATACAGAGGAAGGTAGAACAGAGAGAGGCTTAGAGAGAAGAGAGAAAGTGAGAGAGAAGGTGTGAAGGAAAGGAGATATGAGACAAAGAAGAGAACATTGAGAAGAGAGAAGTAGTATAAAGGGTAGTTTAAAATAAGGTTTTTAGTAAAGAGTAGAATTTTTTTTTAAAATACGTTTGTTTTTTCTTTTGTAATTAAAAAAAAATGCCATTTAGGCTTAAATTGCTTATTCAGTACTAATGCTTACCTTAAAAACCTTATTGAAAGCCTTAATAAAATTCAGAAACTCCAAACAAAATTAAAAGCCAGAAGCAATTCCCCAACGCTCTATTGAAAACGGAACGTTAGAGAACGGTGAGAGAGACGTTTTTTTGCTTCAATATTAAGAACGTTGGTGCTTTTGCGAAGAATAAAAGGCGTTCGAAATTTGGTTCTGTTTACTTTTGTGGTTAGTTTTCTTTTCTGGTCGAATAATCTTACGCGTGGGATTTAGGGGAACAATGGAGCCATGGGGAAAGGGAGAGAAGGGGGTGTTGAGGAAAAGGTGTAAAACAATTTGGACTTAATGATAAGTGCTTTTATTTTTTTTGAAAAATGATGATAAATAGTTTAGAACAATCAATATACTAATGCATTTTAAGTGGTTTAAAAAATATTAATTCTTTTTTTCAACACAATACTTTGTTCTGAGCTCTATCTTAAATTTTTTTTAAAATGGTTTACACTTTATCTTATTGACTCTCAAAATTTTTTTTGCGGAACTAATGACAAGCTATTTTTTAAATGTTTTTTTATTAAAAAGTAAATTTTTAGCATCATGACTTTATTATTGACCTAACGAAGGGTATCATCTGACAAACTTTTGTTTTTTCAGCAGTTTTTTATTCTTTCAGTTTTTAAATAAATTCTCTGAAAGCGTGAAAAAAGTGCACGATTCAACTCTGAAATGTATAAATTTGCAAGGTTTTTTGATATCGTGCTTGTTTCTAATTTTTTCGTTCTACATGTTTTATATACTATGTATTGAACATTACTTCTAATTTCTTTATTATTTTCATTGTGCTTGATTCTATATTATTATATACATATTTCTTCGCTACTGGCTATTAAAAAACTGTTGTTTTACGTTTTAAATGTGATGAAACATACAATGACAAATCTTGTTTTAGCTTTCTTAGTATGTAACGTCTTTATTATTTGTTTTTTGGTCTGTGAATGCGTCTTACAATGAAAAAATATAATCACGTGTATATGACATAGTATGACATAGCTATGTCTTTTAAAAGTTTATTAGAAATGTCATTTATAATGCATTTTAGGTTACATTCAGCTTTTTTAGGTAACTTTTTACGCTATTTTAAGTGAAAAATACGTTGAATTAAAAAATTATTTTTAAAAAATTTATAGAAAGTTGAGCTAATTTTAACAACCCAAAAAGCTTATTTACATATGTAATTACTATATTTAGATAATAAAGTAAAATTGGCGTGGTGTTATACGTAGGCGTAGGTTGGTTTTCATATGAATTAATTACTACGTCTGTGGCTTGTAAGCTTTTACTGTGAAGTAAATAGAATATAAACGGTTGTTTTTGAGTGTAACATGCTTTGTATATACTGTTAAGGCATTTTTACTGATAGTGCTGTAAGAAAGACGTTTCAATTTGATAACAAAGATTTTTTTAGACCTTTAGTTATATGACAAGAACATTATGGATGCTATGCCAAGATGTTTAAATCAATATTTCTAACTTTATTAACTTTACTCACTTTATGAAAACTTAAACTCTAAACTTTTGCCTTCCGTGAGGTCATGTTCGAATCTTTTGTCACTTTCTCGAATAAAACGTATTATATAAGGAAACGTATTATATAAGGAAACGTATTATATAAGGAATGTTGTATAACGCCTTGATGTTTAACGTTATTTTGTGTTTTTATAAACCTGGGGCGTTCTTCTTGGCTAAAACTGGTCGTCTTTAATTGCCTAGCTGTTTTGTTTGTTTCTCAGCGTATTGCTTCTTATATTAGCTGTTTCATTATTCCATGTTCTCATCGGGAATTGTGTGTAATGCAATCTTCTTCATGGTTATTAAAGTAGCCTTTTGGTGCTTTGAGGTTTTTTGTTGCAAAGGTTTTTTATTTTTATTACTGTAGAAGTTAAAGTAAAAATATTTTTTCTTTTTCCAGCTGTAAAGTTTACTATAGCAAAATTTTAAGTATGATTTATTGCAAAAATGACTTCTTTAAATTTTTTAGGTAACAATATTGTTGTGAGTCCATGCTTCATTACTGTTGCTTCTGGGTTCATATTCTT